TCTCCCCTCTCCTCCCCGGGCCCCCGTGCTGCCCTTGCTATCCTCCCGGGGGACCTGACGCCGCTGTCCACCATGCCTTCTCCCCTCTCCTCCCCCGGCCCCTCTTGCCCCTCCGCTGCTTCTGTCTTTCGGCCTCCTGCTGGGCTCCCCTTCCCTTTGCCTACATTGTATACAGTAGAAACGTGCAAGTGTAACATTTGTATAGAGTGGTGCACCATTCATTCAGTTAGTTTTCACCAAGTGACCGCTTCTGTAAGTGGCAGCCAGATGGGAAATAAAACCAGAACCCCAAGGACCCCAGTGTGCCCCCCAGGTACACTCCCCGCAAGAGCAGCTTCTTACTTTTCCCACCAGAGATGCAACTTGCCTGTGTTCGCACCGATGGCAGCGTGTGGTATCTCTGCCCGCACAGCAGGCGACTCTCTCCTGGGCTCTCCTGTCCGGCATCTGCTCTTACTGTCACTGGGTGGCGTCTGCTTTTTGGGTTTCAGTCATGAACTGTTTGTTTCCAGCCCAGATTCCACCCTGGGCCCCAGACACGTTTATTTTGCTGCCTGCAGGACGTCTCCCTTTGCACGTCCCACAGGCACTAGAAAGTGAGCCCAGGCACAGTGGAACTCTGCGGCTTCCCCATCACACCTCCCTTTGCGCCTGGGCCGCCCAGCCAGGCCGTGTGTGCTGCCCGCTGGGTTCCATGAGACACGCTCTCTACCCTGGAGATGAATGCAGGGCATTTATTAGGAAGTCCTCCTGGGATCAGTGGCAACTGAAGGGATGAGAAGGAGGCCAGACCGGGCAGAGGAACGCTGGGCCCCAGCGCAGTGTCAGCAGAGGCTCCGGACGGCTGGCCTGCACTGTCGCCAAGCCAGGCTTGGTGACTGGTCGTGCGGTGAGGCAGTTTTTGGAGAGGCTGCGGCTGCCCCAGGGGTCTCTGAAGCTGACATGGCCCTTCAGAGAGATACCTTGCTGTGTGGTGAGGGCCTCGGCCTAATACTCGCACCCCAGCTGCTGCGTGTGCACTGCTCCCAGGACGGGGGCATGGTCTGGGACGAGGCGGCTCTCTCCAGCCGAGAACAGTCCGCGGCGAGGGCAGTGCTCCCGTCGCCTGGGGGATCCGTCCGTCTGTGCCTGGTGGTGCGTCCCCGTCTGCCCCATAGCTGCCCCTCACTCCAGCTGTCCCAGCGGGGACCTGCCTTGGCTCGGCCCCCGTGCTCCTGCCCGTGCCCGGCGCTGGCCGCTGCGCCTCCTCGCCCTCTCGGCTGCGGGGTCAGTGCGTGCTGCTCTCCTCCTGCCTGTGGCCGGTCCCCGACTGTCCCCTGTGGCAGTGTCCCGGGCTGCAGGCTGGAAGGGTGCCACATCTCTCCTTGCACGGCGGTGAGGCTTAAATACAGGAATTCCAGTAACACTAAAACTCAGCGACGGTCAGCTTCAAAACCAAAGGACTGAAGTTGGCGTGTGATTGCCTTCACAAAGCCAGGGAAATGGCCCGTTGGACTCCTGGGCTTTCCTGAAACGGGAGAGGAAGCTATTCTCCATCGTGTTTTAGGCAGAGCCTGGGAGGGGGGGGACCCTGGTTCCTGATGAAGTTCGGGGGCACGTCGCAGGATTGGGCGAGATTGCTCTTGAGTGGGCTCCTCCTCCACATCCTGTGTGTCCTTGAGCTTCATGTGGGCAGGCTGCGTGCACTTCGGGTCATGCGTACCGCAAATGCCTGTCACGCGCTGTTCTCTTCCCTCAGGAGGCCTCTGTCCCCAGTGCCACCTGCTGGGATTCGGGGACGGCTGTTTTCCCCAGGTGGCTTCCACAGCCATCTCTGGGTGAGGAGCTCCTGTAGCTCCTGGCTGCTAGTGACCTTGCCGCACTTATTCCTTCCGGGGCTTGTTTGTATCCCTCTGGGCATGGAGTGATCCAGGGGGCGCAGGCACATCAGTGCTTGGACAGAGGTCCCTGTGGATGGCGGGACCACTGCTTCTCTGTGCCCTCTTGGTTTCCGTGGCCTTTGGTGCTCCATCTGAATCGTGACCGTCTTCATGCTGCCTGCAGAATTTGGCCGCTGAGCAGCAAGACCAGCATGGCAGCTGGCTAGATGAATGGTTTGCACCTTGGGTTTCTCTGAAGCTTGAGGGGCAGATGAAGGAGGAGTTCCCAGAACTGGCCGGCTCTGGTGTCCAGTGGGGACATGGGTATGGGTCTGTCTGTTGTTTGATGAATTGAATTTTTGCTTTTTGATGGGTGACTAGCTCTCCTCAACCGCACCACCCAGCAGCTGTGATGATGCAGCGTGCCGGGCACAGTGTCTGGTCTGAGTGGACTCTGCCCACTGGGCTTCGAGTTCTGAGTGCGTCCTGATCCATGGCACATGTCCCTCTCCCCTTTTGTCATGGTTCTGCTCTTTCTCTTGGTGACACTTTCCCCACACAGCTCATGTTTAACTGTGTGTGGTCTCACATGTGTGAGTCCTAGAGACTGGGCCCCACATCTTTGCCCTGAGCTGCTCACACCTTCACCTGCTTCATCTTGGACTTTTTCTCTTAAATACGCATCCTCCGTCCTGTGGCAGGACGTACTGTCTCCTTTCCCCCACCCCCTGTTCCTGGTCACCACATGACTCCTCTAGGTCTGGTTTCCTTCTTGGCAGCTTTTGACAAGTCCCAGCACGACCAGGTTCTCCTGCTCTGTTCTCTTCCTTCATGCGCTGCTCACGACCGCAATAGAAGAATCCCTACGTCTTTAGTTGGTCAATGCCTGTCTTCCCTTCTGAAGCTCTGGAGGGAGGGAGCTTGCTGGTTTTTGGAGGTCATGTCAGATGATGATCTAAAGACACTTGAATTTAAAAAGAGAGGAGCTTGGGACATCAGACTGTTGAACAAAGACCCGTCTCCTTAGAGGTCTGTGTGTAGTGGTATTTGGTTAATTGGAGTCTTGGGAGAAAAGGTCAAAGGTCAGAAGGTCTAAAGAGTTCTTCCCTCTGATGGCTGTAACCTCAGATCAATGATGGTGTTCTTCCTGGGCCTCCATTTTCTCATTTGTACAACTGGGAGGGCACACTTTTGAGGTAGTTTGTTTTCATTTTAATGATAGATATTTTATTTTTAATTTTTTAATTTAATTTATTTATTTAAGTTCCGGGCTTGAACTCACGACCCTGCTTAAGAGCTGAGCTGAGATCAAGAATCGGTCACTTAACCAGCCGAGCCACCCAGGTGCCTCTAATGATAGATATTTTAATTTATTGGATGACCTTTCCTCTGGAGAGCTCATGGTATCATTTATAGAGTTGCTAATTAACATTTCTAAATACCGCTGCATTGAAATGAAATGTGGACTAGAAGAACAGCCAAGAAAGGAATCACGGGTCCCAGGCTTGAGGGAAGGGCTTCCCAGCCTTCTTGTTGTGTGTCAGCCTGTCTGGGGGTTTGCAGGTGGAGACACTGTGATCTGGGTGCTTCTTGCCCTGCCCTCCCCCACGTGTACCCTCTCGTGTGCAGATAGACGTGAACTCATAAGTTATGAGGACAGTTGTTACCGCGAAAGGCATCAGTTCCCCGGGACTCTTGTCATTTTTTTCAAGATGGAAGTTCTAACTTGAGAATTTGTGGACGTGGGAAGTGTGACTGTGTTACTGTTTATAATCATCGATACGGGGTCCCTTCCCGTATCCTGAATCCCCCCATCGATACGGGGTCCCTGGGTGTGCAGGTGCAGCTTCCATGGCAGCATGACTCGAAGCCCAGTGGGCTCCGGGGTCGTGGCTGCACACCTGTGACCTCGTCCTGCATGCTGCACACGATTCCCTTGAACAGGAACGGGACCCCCGACTCTGTGAAGGCTCGGGGTGATGCACGTCCACACTGTCCAGCTCGTCTCGTCCTGCTTCTGACTCATGGTGCCCCGGCTGTGCCGTTCAACAGACGCTGCAGCATTTCTGCTCTGCCACCTTTGCACGTGCTACCCTGCCTGCCCTCGGGCTGCGCCTGTTTCTGTCACCTTGTCCAGGAATTTGTCCCTCACTGTGATACCCGCTTCGTGGAGCCTACTG